CCCCAAAACCCCAAAACCCCAAAACCCCAAAACCCCATATCTGATCCTGAGGGAGAACTTCGGTAAATTTTGGGTACATAGAGAGGATTTGCTTCATGGTGCCGGCAATCTGTGGAGATTTTCTGATTTGGAAAAGGACAAAATTTGGCTCAATGATGCACCGATTAGGTAGGAAGGCGTTAATCAGGTTTTTAGGGATCCAGACAGTATGACAGAAGGTGATTGATTGGCTGAGACAGGTATAGAAATAATTATAGTTATTAAACTGAGCTGAATGACCACTCAGAAAACCCATTATTGTAAGAGCCAGGCTAATGAGAGTACTCTCCTTTTGATTTGGCTGTGTCATTGATATTTATGTTGTTGAACTATTACAGGCATGATGATTTTTGATGGTGCATGCAGATAATACTTTGAGTTCATATTCATTTATTCTAGTCTTGAATAAATACAACAAAAGATGGCAAGACCGGAGAATCTAATTTGATCAAATTTTTATAGCTGCTTCAGAGGTTGCAGATAGATTTCACTCGTTGTATAATACAGCATTCTTGTAAAATTATATATCTATAGTATTTGTTTGTATCTTATGTAGCTAAGGATATTATGAGTACATCCTAAGTTTGCACCCAATTTCCAAAATTCTAGACACCAAAAATAATGATCAGATATATTAAACTGTTTATTAAGGAATTATGCAAAGACTGGGGTATAGCAAAGAAATTCAAAATTTATGCCAGGGAAACATCTCCTTCCACAGTCGAGGTCTGATATCTTCTGATAGTCCTCTCCACCAGTTATGAACTCTTGAGATTTCTTATTTTCAATGAGTCTTTCTTTGTTAAAAATTTTGGGAATGATACAGTGACCTCTGTGTAGTCCCCAGTTGAGTATGATCTGTCCTGCTGTTCTATCATACTTCTCTGCATGTTCTTGGAAGAGCTCTAATTTGAGAATGTCCTTGGGTGAGTTTCGTTTTAAATCACCACCTCCTACAAGAGGATAGTATACTACACGAATGATTTCGTTATCTTTCATGAACTTGACTAATTCATCTTGAACTAAGTATGGATGAAGCTCAATTTGGTTGCATACAGGCTTGGTCTCGCAATAAGCTAGCATGTCTAGCAAGCTTTGTACGTTGAAGTTTGGCACTCCGATACTCTTGATTAGGCCTTCATTGACAAGTTTTTCTAGTTCGGCCCAGGCCACATGGTTTGCTATTTTTCCAGGGACTATCTTGCCACCTTCTTCTACTTTGACAAAGGCTGGCTGGTGGGTTGAGAAATAAAAAGGAATCTTGAATTGAAATCTTGATAACTTAAATTCAGTGAGTTTTGATTTTAAAGTTTCTTCTGAAGGAAATTTTGTGCTAGACATTTCCAATATCTCTACAATCAATGGATAAGATACAGGTCATCATAATCAAGCTTTAACTTCTTTAATGACTTATCAAAGGCTCCTCTGATGTCTTCTTTCTGGTTTTGCCACACTTTGGTGACTACGAAGAGGTCTTCTTGCCTGATATCGGTCTCTGTGAGAACTTTCTGGATGGCCTCTCCTACAACCTCTTCGTTCTTGTAGAAACTGACCGTGTAGAGGTGCCTATAACCATAATCAACAACGACAGTGTATATTAAATCATCAGATTGGTTTTGGCTGATGGCAAGGCCAACCTTTGGCATTAAAAGTCCATTATTAAGCATGCAGTTTGGGTCAACAGAGGAATCCATTTCTTTTCAATATACGACTAGATTGTTGGGGTTTTGGGGTTTTGGGGTTTTGGGG